GGAGGGAGACAGGGATGGAGACTGGGAAGGAGACTGGGAAGAAGACAGGGAGGGAGGCTGGGAAGGAGACAGGGAGGGAGATCGGGAAGGAGACTGGGAAGGAGACAGGGAGGGAGACTGGGAAGGAGAGAGGGAGGGTGAATGGGATTGAGGGGAGCCAGGCATTGGGCAGGGAGGGTTACTAGGACAGGAAGAGAAGGGGAGAAGAGGAGAGTGAGAGAGACGGGGAGTGGGAGAGGAGGAGTGAATCTCCTCTGGGTTGAGCAGAGGAAGAGCTAAGGACTCTCTCTTGCAGACAGTCTTTTTGTCCTGGGGAAGTTCCTGCGTTTCTTCCAGTGAAAGGCATGTGTATCTGAGAGGCGCTTCTCTGTTGTCTGTCTCTGCTGTCTCCAGACCACACACACTGTCCTCTGTCTCTGCTGTCTCCAACCCAGAGTCACTATCCCCTGTTCCTGCTGTTTCCAAAGCAGAGACACTGTCCTCTGTCTCTGCTGTCTCCAAACCAGAGACACTATCCCCTGTCTCTACTGTTGCTAAGGCAGAGACACTGTCTCCTGTTTCTGCTGTTTCCAAACTGGATACACTGTCTCCTGTCTCAGCCCTCTCCAAACTGGACACACTGTCCCCTGTTTCTTCTGTTTCTAAATCAGAGACGCTATCCCCTGTTTCTACTGTTGCTAATCCAGAGACACAGTCCCCTCTTTCTGCTGTTTCCAAACTGGACACACTGTCCTCTGTCTCTGCTGGTGCTAAACCAGATACACTGTCCCATGTCTCTGCTATCTCCAAACCAGAGACACTGTCCTCTCCCTTCACAAGTCTGCTGGAGCTTCTGTGCAGCTGGATCTCAGCTGTGAACAGACAGGCGTCCTGCCCTGACAGTTCCACTGTCTGCTCAGCCTCCCAGGTGTCAGCCTGGCGCAAGTCATTGACAGGCAGCTGGACACCAGGCTGCTCTATGGCGTCCAACCACATGGGTTTGCTTGTTAACGGCTCTCTCTCGGAAATCGGGCAGGGGACACCCCCCAGCTCGGACCCTGAATCCTGGAGGGGGATTCCCAAGATCCTCACGGCTCGCTCTTCCAAAGTTTCATTGGCAGGGATCCGCGGACCAGTGGGGAGGGGACTGAGAACTTCCCTTGGCCCTCTGTCACTGGGTTCCTGCAGGCGTCGTGTTCTGGGAGTCTCCCTGTGCTCATTGCTCAAAGTGTGGTTTGGCAGCAGATCAGACCACTGGGGCCCCCTGCTGGGCGAAGGGTCCCCTGTCTCTCCTCCGCCAGCGGTTGGACTGTGGCTCAGAGCAGCAGCCTTTGACTCAGGCTGACCAGGGCAATGGCTGCTGTCTGTACAGGGCTCTGTGTCAGCAGGCGCCGCGGAGCTGTACTTGACATGCTCTTTTTGGGGTGGAACGATGAATTCAGCCCGGACTACAACACAGGTGGCGTCAATGACCAGGAATCCGTTTCTGATGGGGGTGCTGTCAGGTTCTCGCTCTGTGTTCTCCCCTCGGTCTGACACCTGCCCTTCCCCATGTCCTGCCCTGCTCTCGCTGGGATTATCGATCGGGGCTTTGCCAGCTTCCAGGCAGGAATCCCTCACTGTTTTGCTGCGATCTGAACAGCGCTTGCTTGGGGATTTGCCCTTTGCACAGCTGTATATGTTCTGACTTTTGTCTCCCTGGCTTGGAAAATGAGTCTGATCTTTGCTGTCTGCGCTGTAGTAATCGCTCCTGACTTTTCCTGGCTTTCCCGCTACCTTCTGGTCTCCTGTCCCTCCCTGCAGGGAAGGAGAATTCCGGGGCTGGGCCAGGCGGCTGGGCTCTCTCCAGAGGGGGAACCAGGGCCGGTCCGGACCGTCGGCCTGCTGTCCTCTTGTCCTGGGGGCTGAGGGCGTGCCATCTTCGCTGACATCCACCCCTGTCATGACAGCTCTCTTCCTCTCCCTGCCTCTCCGCCGCGGCACAGTCTGGAATTTTAGATCCCAGCTGTCCGCCGGGACTCTGGGCTCCCTCTGGACGGCTCGGAGCAGCTCGTGCTGTTGGGCGCCTGCTGGCCAGGTGTCCGTCAGAGCCGGGCCGGGCTGGGGACTGGAGCTGCTGCCAAGCCCCAGAGGAGGCGAACGAGCCTGGGGGAAGGTACCCCCCGTGAAACTGGGGTCCGGCCCTGCGCGAGCTCTGTCTCTGCTGTGGGAAGCTCTCTCACTCTTTTCCTGCCCTGCACCCCCCAGAGATCCCACCCCAGTGCCCCCCCGACTGGGCGGGGCTGAGGATCCGGGTCTTGGAAGAGAAAAGGATTTTGAGGCTTCTGGGAAGGATGCAGAGTCCCCCGGCTGGGACACCAGGCAGAACACGGTCTCCCTTGGGCTCTTCCTCTTCGTCTTGGTCTTAGTGGTGCCGGAGACTTCTGGTTCCCCCGCCCCTGGCCTGCCCCCCACCTGTGCGTTTCTGGGGTGCTCTGCCTGGGTGGCGCCCCCTAGCGGTGGTTTAGGGTGTGCGCTGGACCCTCCCCAGGTGCTGTACCCAATCTGCTCACGCCAGCTTTCAAGACCCGGTCTCTCTGTTTTCTTTCTCTCTGTCCGTTCCTCCCCTGCCTCGCTCTCCCTCTCGCTCCTGCAGGTCCCAGGAGGGGGGCTGGCAGGGCCGTGGGGGGGCTGCTCCCACTCCGATGGGGGTCTGTCTATTCCGGGATGCCCGGGTCTCTTCACTTCCCTTTTCTCTGCCTGCTCCTGTTGCCGCACTGTCCTGTGGGGGGAGCTGTAGGGTGGCGGTGGCACGTAAGAAGGGGGCTGGCCAAACAGCCTCTGGCCAAGCCGCCCGGGCTGGTTCTCTTTGCTCTGCGGCCCCCTGTGGCGCTGCAGGCTCTGGGGCCGAGGCAGGCTGAGGTAGGGGTTCACTGTCCTCTGTTCCTCTGGATAAACCCCCCGGCGCAGGGATGCAGGAGGACCAGCACTGGGCACCCCCTGGCGCAGTGGCCCACCCTCCCTGGCACCCCACTGCGACCACCTCCCGCTCTCCTGCCCCCCCCACGCTTGGGGCCCCCAGGAGCCCGCCTCCTGGTGCCGCTTCCTGGGCAGAGAGTGCCAGTAGCGGGCGGCCCAGGCCTCCAGCTGCCGGTAGCTGTCGCTCTGGCTCCTCCGCTCCACCCTGCGCAGGCTTGGGCTGCACGGCCCCCTCCGCTGTCCCGACCCCTCTCTCTGCACCCCGCTCTCTGCCTCACGCTCCCGGGTCACTCCCTCCAGCAGCCCCCACTTCCTCTCCCGCCCCGGCACCTCGGCCTTCCTGGGGTCTCCAGGCTGACGGTCCAGGGTGAAGGGCCAGCGGGGAGGGAGGGGGCAGGCTGCCCAGTTGGTGTAGTCCTGCAGGACTCCCCCTCTTCGTGATCCTGGGATGGTCCAGGAGCTGAAAGCTGGCAGCCCATCAGGCTCCAGCTGGAATCTCTCCTCTGGGCATCTGGAACAACAGAGCAGCTCTGAGACAGATGCTCTCCTGCTCAGAACCCTGGCCACTTCCTGTAGGGCCCAGGCCACTTCCTGTAGGGCCCAGGCCACTTCCTACAGGGCCCAAGATGCAGGAGGACCAGCACTGGGCACCCCCTGGCGTAGTGGCCCACCCTCCCTGGCACCCCACTGCGACCACCTCCCGCTCTCGCTCTCCTGCCCCCCCCACGAAGCATTCAAAACACAAGCAAAGCCCTCTCTAGCTCAGCAGGGCTACTTCCTACAGGGCCCTGGCCACTTATTGCAGAGCCCAAGCCATTTAATGGGGCACTGTGTATGTGGGGTATGAGTGTGTGTGTAGTGGGATATGAGCGTGTGGGGAGGTGAGTGTGTATAGTGGGATATGAGCGTGTGGGGAGGTGAGTGTGTGTGGAGTGGGGTATGAGT